GAAAATTGGTCGCACAGAATTTTGCCTTTTTTGAAAACAAAAAGTACAAAATTAAAATAAGGTTTACTTTGTAAATTGTAGTTCTTTTCACGCTGCATCTTGTGGTATATTTTGTTTTTTTCAAAACAACGGGTTAAGTGATGCGAAAATGAAACAGAAAAAGGTAGTTTTTTTTATCCGAGGGGAAATAGAGACCAATTAGATTATTGAACAAGTGTGAGATCGATGCAGAGAAGTAAAACTACTACGGAGATTGTTGACTTTCAAATAATTATCACTGGATTCGATGATTGAAAGCTTGTCATGAGTAGCGCTGTGATATCTGTTTCAATCCTCAGTTATGAATATCCCAGTCATATATCTGCTATGCTTGATGAAATTTAAAATACTCTTTTTCGCCTTAGGGATTATTTTAATAACTTACTGACGACAATGAAATAATCAAAGCTAAATATACCAGCGAAATTTCACTGACGGTCTCCTCAAATATCATTGAGTGTTGTGTTTGTGAGATGTGTTTCTTGTTTGTCGAATGTTTCTTTTACTGCTTTTGCAGCAAAGCAACATTCTATTGTTGTTATTTTTCTTCTTCCTACAACCTTTTTTGTGATTTTTTTAAAAATTTTCTCCAAATACGTAGTTTGTTGAGAAGAATTGCACGTGACAACAGTAAAACACTGGAGGTGTGGAGCAGACGACGATTTTTTGCAGAAGAAGAAGAAGAAAGAATTCATACTCATGTGATGAAAGTCATTTTAAGTGGGGTACGAAGACCGATAATTATTTTTGTAGGATGAGATGCTGTGTGAGTGTGGGTATGTATATTCTCTTCAATGACACCCACACCCACGCTGTATAAGAAAAAATATTTATTCTCATCATTTACACAAAAAGATTAGATGTGTGTATTATAAAGAGCCTTCACACATGCAAATACAACCGATTCGGGTTGCTATTATCAGCAGAGTTCTATAATCAAATATGCTACTCGCCTTTTAAAACTGAATTTGAATACATAGTCATACAGATTGAAGGAAAAACAGAAACAAATTTCAATTATATTGAAAACAGTGGATTCTTTGTCAAAAAACAAGATCCTTTCATTTATTGAGTTTTATCGATCTCCCAATATTACTTTCAAACAACTACACACAGTCTTTGTCTAATCAGAAGTTCAAATTAAGAGAACTCAGGCATTGAAAAGTGAAACGAAAAGCATTGAATTTTCAGTTGCGGGCACCTGACATGAAAAGTAATGTGGAAATCATTTATACGAATTTCTTTGTGAGGCAAAAGTTTTTCGATCGTAAGTGATCATTTTGGGATCAAATTGTGATTACTCCTGTCATACTTATTATGTTAGAAATTACGGAGTGGATACAATGAGTTCTAAGGGTATTTTTGGCTGGAATCAACAACTTGAGTAATATGAACAAAATAAAACAAGTAAATCTAGTTAGGCGTTGAGGAAGAAATGATCGACGATACGTTCTTATTGTTCAAGAGAAGAGTTAATAATCAATACATTGGTGATAGTAATTCGATAATACTTCACAGTAAATGAAAATGTAATAAAATTTGAAAAGACATATTTTTCTTTAATTACCTTTCACTTCGTTTTGTGAAATTTTGCGAGAATAGGCATTTTCAACGAAATAATAACCTCAAATAATTGATCGATTGATTAACAGTGTCACTCTAAAAGAGACAGAAAATATTTGATCAGACGTAAAACATAACATTGAAACTAGAAAATACAATTTAAAGGGTGTGGGTGTGAGTGTGTGGGTGGATGTGGGTGAAAAGAGGAGATCCACAACATCTACACACACCCACACCCACACTCTTCACTGATGTTTGATACAGACTTCAAAATGTATCAACAAGAATGTTTTTATCACAAAAATATACCGATGTCGCTCGTTTATGCTACGACCATCGACAACTTTTTACCAATTCTCCTCCACACGACAACACTGTTTTGCGTACTAATAGGTTTGCAATGAATCGTCATTCGCTACTACTTACAGAAACATCAATTTGTTATTTTTTCTTTCCTGTTCTATGAAAATACTTGTCCTGTGCAGAGATGAAACTTCTGTTCTGCATTTAAACGATACATAAATACATGGTCATGTGATTTGCATCATAGGCCATTTGAAAGTGATTTTTCTTTTGTATCCGCTACATCCATACTATACCATTCTGGTAATAACAATTTTTTCATTTTTTCATTAGCTATAGTGACAATATCTCTTTATCGTTCATTTTTTATTGAAATCAATGAATGAATAAGCACAAGCAGAATACAAAAACATGTGAAAGAAGAAATGCATAGGCATGGGAGTCAATCTACATATAAGTTTACTAGACTATTTTTAGAATTTTGTTAACTTTACAGAAATCGATCACGAATCCATATTTTTATGAGAGAGTACGCAAGAAATTTTACCAAGAGAGTTATCCCTGTGTCTAAAAAATGTAAAGATTAAGAAGATAGCAAAGAAAAATTATGTTCATTTTTTGATGAAAAACAAGAACAATAAATTGACGTTTCAGACAAAAGGATACTGAAGCATTGAATCCGAGTAGTTGAAATTTTTTTTCTTGACTGAATTTCAACGTTTCATGATGTACTCGGTGAAATTGAACTTTCTGTAATGACGAAATAAACAGTGTATTAGAACGACGAACAGATTGAAATGATGCTATACATTGTGTCGATTATTCTCGATATGAAATATAACAAGAAACCATAGAGATAGTTTATAATGTTAATTATAGAATTCTTGATGATAGCAAAATTTATACCCATGATAAATTTTCTTTCAAATTGTGTTACTTAGCTCCAAATTTTTTTTTAGTTTGATGCAAAGAACAACGTTATGAACACAAAATTAACTCGTTTTCTATATTGATTTTCAAATTTGATTATAATTCAATATGAAGACAATTAGAAGTCCGAAATAAAACAATATATTATTGATAGGAGTTTATTTGTAGGCAAAAGTTTAGTTTTTTTTGTCATCAATTATGTAGACACATCTCTTTAAAACCCATATATCAAATTTGATATTGTTGAATTCAAAGAATCGAATTTATTGAATTGTTTATTGTTTTTTCAGATGACATCAACAAATGATATTGGACTTGCGACAGAACGTGTTCAATGTTCAACTCCAATCGATTTAAATGAGCTCATTTGTTCAATAATATGTGAAAATATTTTATGGAAACCAGTCGCTTGTCAACAATGTGAAACGCATTTCTGTTCGATGTGCATCAGAAAATGGTTAATTAAAAATCCAAATAAATGTCCGATGCGATGCGACAGTTTTATTGAGCGATCATGTTCCAAAATCATTACCAGACAATTGGCTAAATTGCAAGTTGTTTGTATCTATCAGCCGAATGGTTGTAATGAGGTTAGTTAAGTCCTTTTCTCTTGTCTCATGCAAATATAAAAAGAATCTTTAATCAATCGTGCAACCTAGGTTGTTCCATATGAAGCACTCGAAAAACATGAAATGACATGTGGATATCAAATGATAAAATGTACTGCTTGTCGAAAAGAAATATTGAAAAAGAATTTGACTGAACATCAATCACAATGCCAGTTGAGTGTAACAACATCTGCAGATGTCAATATTATTAATAAGCAAAATGACATTCTTCAATATCAATCTGAAATAATCTCTCTTAGAGAACAACTTCGACAACTTCGACAAGAATCACAGCATGAAATTCAGCAACTCAAAGAACAAATTCGACAAGGACAAAGTAAGATACAAAAAAATCGAATGAAAATAATATGTATTGTGGAAACTCGATCAAATACATGTGTTCTACATATTTATTGATTAATTGAACGAGAAAAACTATCGCTTTAATCTAAAAGTATTTAATTTAAATCGTGCAAAAGATTCGTGGATCAATATTGATGGATGTTAAATCATTTATAATATAAGATTTTGGGAATATATTCACTTTATCGACATTACGATTTAGTATTTTCTTTGTTTTTATCGATTTCGACAGATTTAGCGGTCCCAAAACATGAGTGCGACAGCTTTTAATTGAAAAGTTTCTGGTTGTTATCGAAAACGGGAAACCTCACATATACATAATTGTTTTATTTAGAACATACGCAAATCAATAACAGGGCTGCTACATTACTACGGTGAAGTCTCTCTAAACCGAGCACGATTGGGACTATTAAACAACGTTCGCAGTAAAAAAGTATTCACTTTTGAGAGGTCCATTTTTAGGAAAAAATGATTTTTCGGACTGATAAAAATGCTAATAATAACGAGATTTTGACTATAGAGAGGCACTCACTAGTAGAGGTTTTACTGTATTACTTTTTATTATTATTATTACTGGGTAATTGGTAATAATTTGTATTACTTTATTATTGGTAATAAAATAATAATATTGCTTAAATGACTTACTTATTTTAATACTATATTACTTTATAAATTTTTTTGCTTTCTTACTTTTATTATTTTTGCAAAGTATTTCTAATTATCGACAATAAGTAATAGCCTAATATGGTCTTACTTAGTACCAGTAATAGTAATGCAGGCCCTCTGATCGATAAAGGAACAAACGGATGAAGGAAACTCAAAGAATTATTAAAAAATTAAATTTGAATTTCTTTTTCATTTGTTGTGCAGTGAAAATAAAAAATAATTACTGATCAATTTTCGACATATACTATGCCCAATGAATCGAAAACTGATGATAAACAGAATTGTAGAACTTTCGATGGAGTTGAAATATGTTTTCATTGATGACATTGTGTTTTTACGTAGCCGCTCTTTTGAATGATATAGACAAAAGGTGATTCATATGAGCCTTGTGCTTTGAAACTCATTCTCAATATATGCAGCGAGTGTTATCTTTTATTTTTTTGTTTTGTTTATTAAGATATAAAATAAAGCTACTGCTATTTGAAATAGCAAAAGTTCATTAAAAGTGATCATAATTTTGAGTCCCATTTGACTCTGAAAAATTTTTTCAGAAAATTCGACTCCGACTTCAACGGAGTCGGAATAATAATCAGATTTCGGAGTTCTCCACAGGTCTCTACTGGGCTGTCTCTGGGTGTGGGCGTCCATAAAGGGACCAACACCGACACCTCCCGCCCCCATGGATTCGTAAATTCGTCGGAACTCTCCAGGGACTTCTTTAGGGAGAATAAACTAGGGTAGACATTTGAAGCTCACTTTTGTGGACTGCTTTTAACGCGACTCTTAGCAACTCGCAACAAATAGTAGTTTTAGTTTATGCTTTTGTTATATAAATATCATAAAAGATTCTGTTTTGCTAATCATTACTTCATTCAACTGTGACAATATCTAGATATTAAGAAAAGTAAAAGTATGATGTCTAGCATAAAAAACCGAGACGAGTAGCTTATTTTGAGGAGCCTTTCAGTTGTATTAATTAATGATTTAAAATAAGAAAATATCAAAGGACAGGGGATAGTTAGTTCACAAATCGATCCTATTTGAAAATAACTTTTGAAATCAGTTCTAATTTTAAAAAAATGCTTTTTTCTTCACCACTAAGCCACTCTCGATGCACATAACAGATTTTCCTGCATACTTCAGTCTATCCAATGAAGATTTCTGTCTGTGATAGCATGATGGAGTGCCTATAATCACCCCGTCTTTCAATACGAAATCGTCGTTTTTTTTCAGGATAGACGGAGCTTTTTGAGAGCTACAAAACGATGCCTAAACATGTATGAAAATATGCTATCCTGGAAATTTTTCAAAGACTATACTGGTGAAATCCCATAGGAACGGCATAGGATTGATACTTGTGTAATGGGTCCGGATGTTTTTTAGCCAACTAAACGATGCATCGATCTTGAAGCTGACAAGATCGCTCGAGTGCGATTTAATTATTGCACAGAAAAACCTTCAGCTACCACGCCATTCAATTTAATTGAACAGATGTCAACAGATTTTGTGACATGCGATATGTGTATCCTTGATGCCGTCTGTATTACGACAGTGCTTGCAAGAAGCGGATACATACTCGCAATGTACCTTCGATTGTGCTCAGGACTTGTGGTTTCAACTGCAAACAATTCCAGAGAATGTTTTCTAAGAGAAATCTGAATCTAGTATTAAAAAGAATTGAAATTCACTGAGACAAAAAACAATTTCGTAATTTATTTTATAAATAAAAATTTTCGGAGTCCCATGTACAATGTAGAAATTTGTCTCAGAACTAGAGCAGATTTATATTCTCTGGCTATTACAGGCGGCTTAGAAGCATTTACACTATAAAAGTGTATTCAAGCCAACTTGTTTGTCTCAGTTTCAACATACCTCAAAAATATTCAGGCGTTTCGATACAATACATAATGGCACAGCATTTTCAGAGAAAAACCTCCGTCTACCACCGATATAACGCGCATTATAGCGATGAGTATACCGATGGTCTGCCGGTGGTTTTTGGTCTGGACCGCATCGTATCGGTTCTACGTATTTGGGAGAGCTTCCAAACCTCGGTTGTTGTTCTAACCTAGTCGAACGATTCGTTTTCCCTGCTATGAGCGACATGAAATTAGAAGAGCTCGAAAACTCTTGGCGACGAACACTGCAAATATCCACTACACACAAAGTAGAGTGTGGGGTGTGGGTAGGGTGTGGATATAGTGTTAGAATAAATGTCTTATTTGCACTCAAGTACACCCACGCCCCATCCTGCTTTCAAATTTGATTTTCGAATAGTATCGATTTATGGACAAATCGTGCCTCGTTCTTTGCTTGACAATATAGAGAGTTCGCGAGTCTGCCTAATTTTTGGTTTCATTGTAAGTTATTCGAGCATTAGTAATGCGTTATTTTTCGCAAAAAAAGGAAGAGCGAAAAAGAAAAACACAGAAGATAAGGACAACAAACAAGCCAAATTAATATTTAGTGGATATGCATCAATGAAGAATATCGCAAACGAGAAAAGTAAACAAAAGTTAAGTGTGTAAGGAGTAGTGACCGGTATGACCGTGCTGGAGCTCGGTCACGAGCAGTCACAGGTATAAAACTAGTCCAGAACACACAATAGTTCAGCACTAAAAGGAATACTGGGATCTTCAACAGGCTACTTCCGCCTCGGCCATCACTTTTAATAAAAAAACAGAAAATTTGCAGTGGCTCTTTTTGGAAAGTTTTTGTTTTTGTGTTGAAGAACCAGAAAGAAGGGTCATCACTCACAATCAAGGTCACTGGCTGGCTTCACTGTGACCGTGACCATAAGAAGTTGGTCACGCCGAGCATTAGTAGGTAGTCATATAATATTCAGTCGCTTGAAAATAGACAAGAAAGAGCCATTTTTCCGTTCTTATCATGGGTCTCGATTATGATAGGAAAAGTTTTAAAAATTTTCTCAAAAAAGAAACGATTTCAATGAGTAAAAATATTTTTACTCAACGAAAAATCAACGATCGCTCTAAATTTCATATGAGAGGCAAAAAGTTTGACTCTTTTCAAATATGTCACCTTCACAAAATCCAACCTATATTGAAAAAAAGTTAATTTTTCACGTGAGCAGGAACATTATGTGGCAAGAGACTTCCTTCGACATAGCAGCGCATTATTAGCAATGCATGTAAAATCGTATAGAAGAAGCGAATTATGAACGTTGAAACAAAGATTCGAGCTACATTTTAAATCTATTTACTAGAAAAGAATCTGACGTTTTTTTTCATCTGAATTCTTTCGTATAGCTAGAAGCAGCGTTTGCAGTGCAACAGAGTTCCTTTTCTTTTCTTATTTCTATTTTTTATGCATGTTGCAGGTTACCACGATTCATAGATGATGCAGTGATCGAATCTTGTAAATTTTTAACTTGGTGAGCAACAAAATTTTCCTTAGAATAAGTTTATTATTTACGGAGGAAATTTTTTCAAATAACTTTTCAAGTATTGAATTAGTACGAAAGAAAATTATCGCCGATTTCCTGTTTGTATATAGGTTTCATATTTTTGTGTTGTGTAATAACATACTTCAAACACTCAAATAATTCGATTTTGAGTGCCTATATCTTTGCGAATAATCACAAATGAACAAATACTATTCGTATATCTATTCATTTATCAGTAACATAAGATTTTATTAATCGTGAATCTACTAACTTTTCCCAGTTTTGTTTTGTTCGCTAAATTTATTCATCGCTTTTTGATTTAAGCATATACAATGTCCATGTTATCAGGCAAAGACTTAATACAAAATCGGAGTGAATATAACGCATCTTATTATTGTATGATAGAAAAAATTGAATTTTTGCCGGGTATCATCCGTGTTTATATTGATGAAAGAGGAGACAGTTCACTTGGTATGATACTTTTTTCAAAATGCATCTTACAGCATCTTAAACATATGAATTGATGTTTAGGTAAACTTCAAAATCCAATGAATTCAAACTTGGGTATTATAAGTAAATTTGTTCTATCTAAAACTAAAAATCCAATTGATGGAAGATTTGCTATCACTGATCCAACCCGCCAATATCTAGGCAAGTATTATTAGTTTTTGTCATCAAAGCTTTATGTATTCTCTTATAAGGTTATCTCGATTTTCCTTTGGACAAATCTTTTTTTGGTGACAAACATATTATTGGTTTTCAATACGGCAACCAAGGCTACTCAATTGCAAAGCTTTTCTGCTTAGATCAAGAATTAATCAACAAATACAATTTAAAAGCAGTGTAAAAACCTTATAAAAAATTACGATATACACATGAATAATAAAACTTTCTTTTCAAGTCTTCTTTTAACCTCGTAGCTAAAAATTTAGTTTGTTTAACTTCTGTAATTAGCTAATAATAAACTGATTGAATATAGTAT